AAAACCTGCTCTTGGCACAAATTTTTTTTAAATGCATTACAGAAAAAGTGGCAAAGCTAATTCTTTATTTTCTCCAATACTATTTACACAAGATAGTTTAACAATCCTGTTTAAATTTTAATAATCTGTTTCCAGTCAGTGAATTATATGATGTGTTCTCATTTCCTTAGATTCCACTGTCCTTCCAGGGAGCCCTCTTTGGACTTTGATGTGGTCCTTCCTTTGGGTGATGATGTCCAGCTGTCTGTGGCAGACTATAGAAATAAATTATATGAGGTACTTTCATCCTATTTTCCCAACTCCTAATCCTTCAGGTAACCTGCCATTCTTGCACACACTTAAATTCTGTCATTGTCCTGTCTCTGTATTCCCCTGGGCTTTCCATACCTGCTGGCACCATTACACCTGGGTGTTTGATCAGTTCCATACTGTCCTAATCTTTGAGAGACGTTTGCATGTAAAATTCCCACAGAGCAAAGAAAAATCTCTGAAACATGATGTCTGAGAAAGATGCACAGAATGGTTTGTGTTGAAAGGTACTTTAAAGATCATCTAGTTCCAAAATTATACTTGTTACTTACTCTGTAAAATAAAATTGCAGATATTTATAAGTATGCCTCTGTGTTTTGATGTTTTATTTTTCTGCTGTATTGCGGTGTTAAGTCTAAATTGCTTTTCTGTTCTGCAGATGATCCTTGAAAAGAAGTCAAAGAGCTTTCCAAAGGAGCAAGGGCAGGGAGAAAATACTCAGCTGAGCCAGTCTGATTCCAGCACACTGCTGCCAGGTTTTAGCTCAGTGGCTGCACCCACCAGGAAAGGCCACGAAGACCCAAAACCTGCTCTGCTAAACCCTTCACATGTGCACCCTGGAGTCACAGCTGGGGTCCAGGCAGCAGGGTCCAGCCAGAGCAAGGATCAGGCCAGAGCTGTGTATCAGAGATCACAGATGGGTGTGATGGTCTACAACCCCATCACACACACCACTGTGCAGAGTGGGTACCACCCTCCTACACCAGGTGTAACCCACCTTGGGGTGTTGGTGTGGGGAGAAGAGAATGAGTGCTGTAAAAGAAATGAAGGGAATCTGCATGGTAAAATGAGAGGCTGGAAGTGTGGGAGGGAAATGACATAAGAACAAGACACTGTTGAATGAGTGTTGAGTGTGGGACTGTCCCTGCCTCAGTCAATGTGTTCTGTGTTCTTCTGATTTTCCTGCTTTCTCTCATGTTTTTCCTTCTGCAGGAAATGCAAATCCTGGTGCTGGGATCAGGAACTGTTCTGCACCACCTCAACAGTCCAGAATCTCCAACAATGAGAAACTGGGGAGACAAATCACATGGCCAAACACTCGTCTCTCTCCTACAGGTGTGCAGAACCTTTACAATGTGAGTAGCTTAATTTCTAGCCCTTATCTGTGGTAACCTTGGTCACAGCAACTCCCTGCAGTGCTCCAGGCGGCGTGGCTGGAAAGCTGGAAAAGGTCACCTGCTGGTGCTGATGACAGCAGATGAACATGAGCCTAGGGGTGCCAAGGTGGGCAAGAGGCCAGTGGCACCTGGCTTGTAGCAGCCACGGAGTGGCCAGACACCCAGGGCAGTACCTCTCCCCTATGCTAGACACTTCTAAGGGACCTCCAGTCCTGGGGGCAAGTTTGGGATCTTCACAACAGGAAAGGAGGGCCCCATTGAGGGGCTGGAGCGTGTCCAGAGAAGGGAACAGAGCTGGGGGAGGGTCTGGAGCAGCAGCAGCAGCTGTAGAGAAGAGGCGGCACGGGAAGGACCTTCTCTCTGCAGCTCCCTGACAGGAGGGTGCAGCCAGGGGGGATCAGGATCTGTTCCCAGGAGACAAGACAGAATGAAACAGCCTCAAGTGCTTCCAGGAGAGGCTGAGGTTGGATATTGGAAAAATCTCTACTGCAAAGGGCTGTGCAGCTCTGGAACAGATTGCCCCAGGGCAGGGGGAAGTCCCCATCCCTGGGGGGATTTAACAGCCACTTGGACGTGGCACCTGGGGACAGGGGTCAATGGTGGCCTTGGGAGTGCTGGGGGAGCCACTGGACTCCACAGCCTCAGAGGGCTTTTCCACCTCAGTGATTCTCTGATTTCATGATTCTGTGGATCTAATGGGTTGCTGTTGCTGTGCTGTGAGGGTGTCAGTCCTGTCCTCTCTGCTTCTCCCTCTTCCCTGATTTTGGCTATGCTTCCTTGGAAAAGTCCTTCCCCTCACTGGGTTCTTTATTTACCTCCTGCTCCTGCTTTTTTCCTTCCTGAGCTGGCTGTCTGCTGCCTCGTGACTGCTGGCACCTGCAGAGCTGATGGAGGAAGCTTATGACAGAGGAAGAGTGTGGAAGGAGGCAGCACAGATTCACAGAATCACAGACTGCCTGGGTTGGAAGGGACCTAAAAACTCATGTCGTTCCACCCCTCTGCCATGGTCAGGGACACCTTCCAGTAGTCCAGGTTATCAGAAACCTTCAAGCATTTCTAGTAATACACTTGTAGCTCTCCTTTCAGCCCCTCTGATTTGGAATCCCTTCCAAAATGTTTTGAGAGAAAGAGAAGCCATTAATTCTCCAAGATTGTGGAGCTTGCTGCACACGTAGGTTTACACGTGACCAATGCATTTGGAAGGATCTGTAGGGAATTGCGACCAATTTTCTATGACAAGAAGAGCAGAAGAGGGAAAAGATCAGCCTACACGTGCCCTGAATTTGTGTTTGTTTCCTGAGAGGATAATGCTGACCAAAGCCAAACCTGTGTCCTGTTTGCATTCCAGAAAGCTGATTCCAGCTTATTAACTTTTCCTGGCTTTTCTTTCTCACACAGAATCCCAGAAACACTCAGTGTCACAGCAAAGATGTTCGTCCCCTTCTGAAGCCCAGTAAAAAGATGTTCCAGATCACTGCAAATGTGGGAGCTGCGGGTGATCCAAGGGCATCCATGGGCAGCTACTCTCAGGCCTATGGAACCATCAGTAAATCTGCACTGCAGAGCCTTCCAATAGCAAAGGCCCCCAAAAGCCCTGAGCAGTGACAGTGGAGATGTTGCAGACAGGTGAAGTACAGCTCATCCCTCAGCCTCTGACTGAGCAAGGGCAGCAGGGGAGAGCAAACTATGAAGAAATGCTTTATTTGCTGCTTAGGACAATGTCCTCCTCTCCTCTGGACAAGCTCATAGGAAAGAGAATCCCACTCCTCTGCCTTCTAGCCTCAGCAGGCAAGGACACAGCAGGCATAGACACAACACACACTTTGTTTGAATTACTGCAAAAACCACAGAAAAGTGCATTATTCTGATACTGGAGTGGTTTTTAGACATATTTGGGGTCCAGGGAACCTCCTGAAGTTCAACAAAGTCAAGCACAAGACCAAGGAAATGCTCTGAAGGCTTGAGTCCTTCTGCTCTGGAGATAGGCTGGGAGAACTGGAGGTGTCCAGCCTGGAGGAGAGAAGGTTCCAGGAAGACCTCAGAGCCCCTTCCAATGCCTAAAGGGACTCCAGGAGAGCTGGAGGGAGACTTTGGACATGGGCCTGGAGTGACAGGACAAGGGGAATGGCTTCCCACTGCCAGAGGGCAGGAATGGATGGGGTGTTGGGAAGAAATCCTTCCCTGTGAGGGTGGTGAGGCCCTGGCACAGGGAGCCCAGAGGAGCTGTGGCTGCCCCGTCCCTGGAAGTGTCCAAAGCCAGGCTGGATGGGGCCTGGAGCAACCTGGGACAGTGGAAGGTGTCCCTGCCGTGGTAGGCAGGGACTGGGACTGGGTAACCTTTAAAAAGTCCTTTCCAACCCATTTCAGGATTCTTCAGCAGTCTGCCTAAATGATGGATATTTTTTTGAGCAGAACAGGTAACTATTCTCTGAAGACCATGAAGACCTAACTCTTCAGAGATAATCTTGCAGCCTTTCACTCATTTCTGACTGTTCTAGGCTAGAGGAATAGAATTCATTGTAGTCTGGTTTTGTTAAAATCAAGTAGAAAAACATTTGAAATACAGGTGGGTTCTTCTACAATATTTAGCAGGTTCTCTAGTATGTAATATTGTAATAATATTGTAAAAATAAATCCTTTATATTGCACTGCAGAAAATTTTTGTCTTTCAAGCAGCATTTGCTGTGTTGAGAGGGAAACTAACTATTGGTAGGGCTGTCTTCTTCAATGAATAATTCGTCATTTTTACTGGTTTTGCTTTCAGAAAGCAAAGTTTCATGAGATACTGTTGCTGAGACATCATAAAGGTGTTGCCAGTCTACAGTGGAACTACAGGAAACTTTATGTTCCTGTTTCAGTGATGATTTTGGATACATTTTCCTCATTAACTTGAAGCTCTTGTCTCCATCCCTGAGGTTTTACTCTACCTGTGATGAATGATTGTTATTCCCCCCAGTTCTCTCAGCTGTTCCAGACCTGTCACCTCATGAACCTTGTGAACTTACAACTCTCAAGGAAGTCACTGCTTGGCAAAGGCAGGACTTTAGATGCTTATTTAAACTCAGACTCACCTGAAAAGGCCTCCTAAAGCCAAGCCCTTCTCCATCAATAGCACCTCAGCAGCTTCTTTGAGCTCAGCCCCTAAAGCGCGTAATTGCCTTTACACACGGGAACAAACCAGACTCCGCAGGCTCAGGAACTGGTAAATACAAAAGCTGGACCTGTGCTGCTGGAGAAGATCAGAACCACAGATTAGGCCAAAACATTGATTACAACTAATGTTTTTTGGTATGTAAACCTTCAAAAAGGTGCCTCCTCTGTCTGATTCATTGTGAGATACAGAAAAAGTTTAACTGCACCTGAGAAACCACTGAGCTTTAAGTACTTCTTCCAATTACCTGTGTGTGTGTCTGTATGTATTTATCTTTTCTGGCCCAAACTCAAGTATTCAATTTTCTGATTTTCTTTTTTTTTTTTCTGAAATTTGAATGGTTTTGTCTGATGAAAATATTCCCTGGGTTTAACAGAGCCTCTTAGTTTTGTACAGTAATGGAGAGTTGTTTTTTAAGCACGTTGGCATTTTAATTGTTTTATTTGTAACATACTGTGATAAGGTTGTTTGATACCACCTGACTTTATTGAGCAAACTGTGCCGTGGGAGGCTCATGCTGGATACATTCCTGTGCACTAATCAAGAAGAGCATTGCCATCATAGACAAGTTTCTTCCTCGTTTCCCTGTGACAGTCAGTGATTAAATGGAATTAAATAGGATTTCTAGGATCATTTTTTGGTCTTGAAGGTCCCCAGGATTTTGGGCATGAATTTTCCCATTTTCTTGTCTTTGGCATCTGTGTCATATTCCTCTTCACTGGGACTTGTGTGCTCGTCCTTCTTGCAGAATACCTCAAACCTGCTGTAGACTCGCTTCTCCTTCCGCATGTTCTCCATCTTCTTCAGGAGGGTGTCTCTGTCCTCTGATGGCTGCCGTTGCAGGTTCCGTTTCTGGCTCCCAAAACTCTCAGACCTGTGTATGTTGCAGCTTTTCTCCTTTTCCCCTTTTCTTTCCAAGCTTGTGGTCGACCTGGAGAGGTCAGGGTTGCTGGTGGATGGCAGCTGCTTGGCCAGCTCAGCTCTGTTCTTCTGGCTGTTGGCAGAGATCTGCTCCAGGATCACCTTGGTGTCATCACGCAGGTTGCTGCTGTACAGGATGTTGGCTGTGGAGGAAGGGAACCTCCCTTGCGTTGTCTGGTTGCTCTTGGGGGGGAGCGGTGCTGGGAATTTGTGGGGTTTTTCTTCCTCCATTGCTTCCTGGCAGTCCCCTGTGGATGATCGTTTGAGCACCACTGCCTGCTTGTCACATTTCCCACTCTCAGAAGCAGGTTCCTCCTCCAATTTCTTTTCGCCTTTTGGGTTCAAAAGCTGCTTCAGCCGTAGTGATCCTTTTCTTAAAAACTCCATGGGATTTTGCTCTTGTTTTGAACAGTCTTCCTCAGATTTGTTGAGAGAGCTGTCAGACCCTGGACTTCTAGACAGGCTTTCTAGAACTGAGGATGTAGTACTTGTCCTCATCTGTGGTTTCTTCATTTCTGTGTTGACTAATTTTGGAGAGTCTTCTCTGAAAGTCACTCTGTCCTTCTTCTCTGGAAGAGCCAATTTCTGAGTGTCTCCTACAAATATCAGGCTCTCCTTCTCTGGAATAGGAGGTTTGTTCTCGATGGGGTAAAACCGGGATGACAGCTTGTCCACCTTGGTGCCAAGATGTGCCAGGGGATCTTTACTCAATGTGTCCCCAAGCTGGGGGGTGGATGAGGCCATTCCAAATGCTCTGTCCAACTCTCCATGCATTTTGTAAGTACTGCAGGAATCTTTGGAGTCCAGCACCCTGCTCTCCAGAATCTTATACTGCACAGATTTGGTACATTTCTTCTCCGTATTCTGAGATTCCTCCTGTAGGTAACCCGAAACAGCTTTGGTGTGGGTGACTGTGCCCCGTTCCATGTCCTTGCCTACAGCTTTGTACTTCTCCAGCAGCTCAGCCACTTTGGAGGAGGCAGCTGTCTTGATGGTTTCATTGTCCCTTGTTAACTCACTGGACATTTGCTCTTTTTGGATCATCTGCACCTTTTCTATTGTGGTGTTGGGCTGATCTAATTTGGCAGCACTGAAAATCAGAGAGGATCTGAGCCTGGAGCTCCTCTGGATCAAGGGATTTATCCTGGACCTGAAGGCATCTGGTTTCATGATTGAGGTTTCTTCACCTGCTCTGTCAGGATCTGCAGATTCCTTGGCACTGTCAATTCCCAGTGGCTTGCTACTGAAAGGTGTGGGGGGTTTGAAGGCTGGGACAAGGTCAGTGGGGTGCTTTGTGAGGGGATCCCCAAGAGCATCATTATATGCCTCGGACTCCATCGGCATCGGGAGCCCTTCATCTGGTTCAGACTGGTATGCGCTGAGGTACGAAGAAATCCTCCAGTTCCGTAACCCTGTCCTGTTTTCCTGCATGTTCTTGTCGTCATCCTGCTCCTCATCTTTGTCCTGTAGGAACAGGCGTTGCTCCAGGCTCTGCTTCTGCGTGGGAGAAGTCTGGCAAATGAATTTCTGTCCTATGTTCTGCCTCCGTAACATCATTCCCATGGGGCTGTTGCCTGCGGGGTTCAGCTGGTCAGAGCCGTGTCTCACCTCCCTGGAAGAATTTGAGGGCACATAATCCAGCCGTAGGGGGAAACCCTCCTGTGGGAAACTGGGCTCCAGTTCAGGGTATCGGGGTCCCTCTCCATAGTCTTCTAGTTCATTGAATCCTGGCCTCCCCCCTCGAATCCTCTCAAAGAATCCCTGAGGTCTGCCAGGAAGATGGGGATGTTCAAACTGGTACTGGTAGAACTGATCCTTCTGGAAATGACTGGATTGGATTTTGAACTCGTCCATGTTGTTCATGAACATCTGCCGGGTGTACTGCTTGGCAGAAGCAAAATTTTCAAACGTTCCTTCTGCAAAACTGTGTCTCTTAAAAGCATCTAGCTCCAGCTGCTTGGAACGGAGGAAGCCCCTGACCGGATCCATCTGGGAATTTTCCATTTCCACCTTTTTGTACATCCGCATGGCCGACCCCTCCACAGTGTGTCGCAGCATGTCGTCCCGCCGGAAATTGGACAGGAAGTACCTGTCCGGATCCACCCTGTCCATGAAGGAGGGGAAGAGACTCTCATCCCTCTGGAACATCAGGGGGCCTTTTTTGGGGAAGAAAGGCATGTTATTGCCAAAGGGAGCCATGGCAAACGTGTTCTCTGCCTTTGCCAAGACGTTGGCTGGAGGAACGAGAGGTTCCGACTGTGCAAACAAAATGCGGAATTCTTCATCAAAGCTGGCCACCAGCTCACCCTGGAAGATGTGTGCAATGCTCCTGTGAATCTTCTCAAAGGACCACATGAAACTGAAGAGAGAATAGAAGTGATGGATTAATTCAGCTGTACCTATTTTCATTAAAACATTTGTTCACCTGAAGCAAAGTCTAAATTTTCTGGTTGGGCAGAAATAGGGCAAAAGACTAGGGGCAGACGATTCCCCTGCAGCTACATGTTACACAAGACTGTTCCCAAACCTAAGAGCTTGATTGATTGTGATCACATCTTTGCAGAGAATTTTACAAGCCAATAACTGATTTCTGTTCTAAAAAGCCAGTCAGTCATGTCACCCAGAGTGAGCTGATGATAATCCTTGTGTGAAGCAGATGTTCCTGTCTTTAGCACTGTCAGTAACGACCTGAGCAACAGTCAGCATGTCCCCTCAGCACCTGGCAGGTGACACCAGTCAGAGGGACCCCAAAGGCTGGCAGATGTGCCAACAGGAACCTCCAAAAAGACAAACCCAAGATCTTATTCCGTGGAAGGGTGGCACAGCCCTTCCACCCACACAGTTTGAGGGGACTGAACAGAAGGAGCTGAGCTGGAAAAGGGGGAGGAATATGGTGTTCATCTTCCCAAGTCAGGCTTTGCCTTTTCTTCCTCATCTGCTGAGTGATGGGGAGCAGGGAAGGGATCCCTTACTTTTCCTTGTCTGTGTGTGCAGGTTTGTTACAACTGTATCACAACCCAGGAGTGTTCTCACCTTTACAGTTCCCTACCACATCCCTGGGAATCATGAGGGATACCTTTGTGAGGCTTGGCTGCCTGCTGGGCTTAACCAAAACCCTTAGAATTACTGTCTTTTTTTTTTTTTTTTTTTTTTTTTAATTCCACACCACAGATTTTTTAATTCTTAATGTGAAGGAAGCTTGGTTTGGTGTTGTCTGGGCTCAAGGCCTTCTTCTATTGGTGCATCTACCTCCACTGCAAAACGGAGTATTTTTCCCAAAAAATTGCTACTCAGTGTCCTTCAGTGAGCAAAACTTTTGTCCCTGATATCCATGAGGAAATGCCAAAATGCAGCAGTCTGTCTCTCACAATCCCAGACTGGTTTGGGTTGGAAGGGACCACCACACCTTTTTTCACCCCCTGCCACGTGCAGGGACACCTTCCACTAGCTCAGGCTGCTCCAAGCCTCATTGAGCCTCATCCTGAACACTTCTACAACTTCCTACTTCAGAAATGATACAATATTGGAAAGCCCAAAAAAAGCTTCTGTGGCAGAAGCAGTCCTGAACAATTTACTTGATGCTCTCATAAACAAGAAACGATCCAATCAGAACAGTTGGTTGTTTGGTACAGCATCAAATGTAATTATTTTCAAACATCAGGAAAAAAAAAAATAAAGTGAAATCTTATTATCATGGAATGTGCACTTTAGTCAGATTCTTACAATTTTTTCTTCATATACCCTTTTTAAATACCCTTAATTCTATTTGCTTAACTTCCACCATGAGAAGCAACTCATGGTAGGCTCGGATCAACCTGGTCTAGAAGGTCTCCCTGCCAACAGCATGGGGAGAAATCATATGAGCTTTAGGGTCTGTCTGACCCAAACCATTCTGTAATTTTATGATTACATTCTTAGAGCATGACAGGTGTTTATCCCATCACCCTTTTAACAAGTGAAGGAGAAATTCTTCTACTGCAACTCACTAAAAACATTTATTCTGCCAGAAATGGACGCCTTAGCTGGTAAGATTGTTATTCCCAAAAGGATGGTAATGTGTTAATGGCTGATCTCAGTCCTAATTAAAACTACCCACCTCTCTGTTGCTCAGAGCAGCTGTGGCTGCCCCATCCCTGGAAGTGTCCAAGGCCAGGCTGAATGGGGCTTGGAGCAGCCTGGGATAGTGGAAGGTGTCCCTGCCCATGTGGGGCTGTGGGGGTGGAAAAAGATGAGCTTTAAAGTCCCTTTACACACAAACCATGCTGTGATTTTATTATTCTGTGAGTGGAGGTCAAAATTCATTTGGTCCAGGCTAAGATGCAAATCTTACACTCCTTATGCTATGGCAAATTCTCCCAGAATGGATCAGATGGGAGCTGAGCTCCTCTGCAGCCAGCCCATGCACAAAGCACCTGAATCTCTCTCTCTGAGCTGGACAGGACTCCTCACCTGTAGTTGCCACTCAGCACCACCATGCAGTCCACCAGCAGGAACTTCTCCTTCAGGTGCCCCTTGAAGGACATCCCCGTGCGGCAGTAGTAGGTTGGGCCAGACACTGTCCTCACCCTCAGGAACTGCAAACCAGAAAGGCACCAACTCAGGTGGGACCCTCATTCCCTTCCTGCCCCTCTTTCCTTGCCTCGTTTTAACCTCCATCCACCCCTGACTGAGATTATCCAGTTCCAGTGGTTCTGCCTGTGGACACACCTATGTACAAACCCCTTTCTCTGCACATCTCCAGCCCTCACCCCGTGTTGTGCCAGCTCTCCTCACTTTCTTCCCACTCATCTTTCACCAGGGTACTGCCTGTTCTCCCCTTTCTCAGGTGTTTCCTGCCATACTGGGCGTCTGTGTGGCAGGACACACCCCTTCAGGACACCAATCAGGTGGGACAGGTCTTTGCTCACCTCCACATAGTTCAGGTTGACTCTGCACTTGGCAGCTGTGTCGAGGAAGAGCTGGGAGTTCATTTCATCCAGCAGGATGTACACAGGCACGCGGCGAGAAGCAGCATCCAGCACCTCAAACAGCAGATCCACATCGGTGAAAACATCCATCACGATGGCCACCACCTGGGGAAGGGATGCAGGACACATGAGCTACTGTGCTGCCTCATGCCCTGACCAACCGTGTATCCCAGCTTCTCACACCCCAAAGCTGCAGTGTCCCCATCTCAGCTTCCTTTTGAAGCAGGAAACATCCCAGTTAAAAGTCCCATTAAGCACTGGGGGCCCCAAACTGGAAGGAAAATTTCTGTCCAGGAAGGTGCATGTTCTGTGTATGCAGGCGAGGGGAAACCTCCCTGTGTGTTTCCCAACTCATCAATCCAGTAATTCCATGAAATTTTTGGCCATGTAATCACACTGGATGGTGTATGGAACTGGTCACCCCACTCCAACATCCCAGTGCCATTTTCAGGTAACTTCCTGGCCAGCATTCAGGCAGCCACTACGCAGCTGCATCCATGTGCTGATTTTATGGGAAGCAGCTTCATAGGTCTACCTTCCTGTTCTTCCCAGCTCCCTGAGTGTAAATCCTTGATGGAAAGGGCAAAAGGAAGGAGTAAAACTCTTCTCAGTGTTGCCCAGGGAGAGGACAGGACACAAACTGAAACACAGGAAATTACAGTTTGGTTACAGAAAAGCCTCTGGGACTCTAAGGAGACCATCAACATGGGAACAGACTGTCCAGAAACGTTTAGTCTTCACCCCTGGAGATGCTCAAGGACACATCCTGAGTGACCCTCTCTAACTGACCTCCTCTGAGCAGGGGGGTGAACAGGACCAGCTCCAGAGGCCCCTTCCAATCTCTAATGTTTTGGGATTCTGTGAACTCTTGGTGTATTTTAGCATGGCCTAGGACATGGTGCCATGACAGCAGAGCAGCGACAAGCTTTGGTGCAGTCAGTGGTGGATTTGAATCATTCTGCTCCTCTGTCAGGTTCTGGAAGCAAAGTTAAAGGAATTAGCAGAGGACCTAATGTTGCTCAGCCTGGAGAAGAGAAGGCTCCAGGAAAACTTTACAGCCCCTTCCAGTGCCTAAAGTGGCTCTGAGAGCTCAGGAGGAACTTTGGACAAGGGCCTGAGTGACAAAACAAGGGGAGTGGCTTTACACTGCCAGAGGGCAGTTAGATGAGATATTGGGAGGAAATTGTTCCCTGTGAGGGGGATAAGACTCTGGTACAGCGTGCCCTGAGCAGCTCTGGCTGTCCCATACCTGAAAGTGTCCAAGAACAGGTTGGACAAGGCTTAGAGCAATCTGGGCTAGTGGAAGGTGTCCATCCCCATGGCAGGGGGGTGGAACTGGATGAGCTTTAAGGTCCCTCTGACCCAAACCACGGCACTATGATTCCCTGTCCTGATGCTTCTCTGGCACACGTGTGATTTTACCTCTGCTCTAGCTGGGCTCTCCCTGCCTCACCTGCTGAGCCGCTCGAATCATCCTGCGAGCCTCTTCCTTGATGCTGGGGTTGTCTGGTGGGGGTGGCTGCACCAGTGTCGTCACCTCTGTTCCCCTGAAGCCAAAGACCATCGGCCAGCCCAGGTCAAGCTCAGGAACAGCCAGATCTGAGTTCATGGGCCAGTAAGTCCCAGAGGATCCGTCCATGTCATTGTCCCCCGCTGTGTCCATGCTGCCCTCCTGGTTGGCGTACTGGGGCTTCTGGAGGTTCTGGATTATGTGATCCACCTCGGAGTCACAGAGGAAATCGGGGGCCGCCTCCTCGGCCAGGAAGCGCTGGTAACTCTCCTTGCCCTCCTCTGTGAGCACATCCAGGGCCAGGCGGTAGTACTCCTTGTAGTGGGGGGGAAGGTAGTTGGGGTCCAGGGGGTTGTCCCCCTGTGAGGAGCTTTGGGATCGACGAGCCATCAGGGGAGGGAGAGCTGGAGGGAAATAAAAAACATCTGTTTTTTATATACAGATACAGCAGTGGCATGACAGCAACACATCCAACAGAGCCTCCTCAGAGAGCAAAGGTAGAGATTAAAAGAACATGGAGCAATGCCGGAGAAAGTTAATCCAAAGGCATGAGAGCCTAAAATTAGGCAAAGGTGTGAGTCACTTAACCATTACCTTCACACAGTTAACTGTTTTGGGCCAAAATACAGAACAAATCAGCCAAGCAGCCCTGGGATAAGCAAGGCCAATGCATCCAACAGAATGATAAACTTTCTCTTTTAGGCTGCTGGTTCATAAGCTTCAATTTATCATTTGTTTATAAGTCAAGACCAAAGCTGTATATGGTTATTATTTACACCCCATTAAAATTAATTTCCAAATGCTACAGAAGTTATTTACTATGTGTAATGTGGCCCTAAACCAAAAGCACCTGCCTGAACACAAGGGTACCCTCTGGACCCTTACAGCTGGGGTATTGTCAGCATCTCAGGATGTGAACAGAGGCAGGTGGTGTGCAGGTGCAGGGGTGTCCTGCTGGTGTAACACAGTCAGAAGGCAGAAGAATCTCTATGAGACGAATGAAGAAATAAAAAACAAGGGATGTGATCACTTCTTCAGTCTCCTCATGTTAAGAAAAAACAGATCCGAAAGGAGCTCACACACAACATTTGGTAATTGTCTGTAGGGGACAATTTTTTGAGACTATAGACAAATCTGATTTTAACCCATTTTTGAAAGAAAAGTTTGCTGTGCCACAACAGCAATATCTGACTGATCCACAAAATGCTCAAAGCACTTTGGGTTTAGACTCTGAACTAATGTCAGTGCTGGAATGTTCTTTTCCTGCACCCCACCACTGAGGTACCAGCAGAGACTTCCTCCTGATCTCCAAAAGAGTGAGTAACTCCTGCTGAGTGACGCTACTGAGTGAGCACAGGAGGTGAGGGTCGCTGCTGTTGTTGCCATCCAACACATCTGCTCCCAAAATGGGAGGGAGTGCCATGGACTGGGAGAAGATAAAGACCTCACACTCAGATTATCACTCATTAGGAGCTGTAAGGACAAACCAGTTTCAAGTTCTTATCCAACCACCTGCCCAGTACACAGCACTGCTCTGTTACTCCCGCCTCAATCTCCCACAGATTACTCCAACTCCAAAGTGGAACTGATGGTAAAGCTGTGTGATACAACAGAAAAAAATTATAGTCTTAATGTAAGGATAAGAAAATCCAATAGATAATAAATCCTCTCTATAGTTCTCACATACAGCTGCCTATACAGCCTGAATTATCTGCATTTATCTTCCCTTTCTAATTCTGTCTTTTTTTCTCTGTGTAAGAGAAGAAAGTACAGAGCACTCCAGTATGTATCTCTGGTGGAAGGTGCCCCTACCCATTGCAGGAGCGTGGAACAAAAGGGGCTTTATGGTTACTTCCCACTCAGACCATCCTGGGATTCTGTGATTTTAGGATGCTCAAGTCACCAATGTTCCCGCTTTTAACCATTTCAGCAGTGTCATTTTAAGGACTTGCTCCCACGTTCCATTAATCTTGGACAGAAGAACAACATATACAACTCATTCATATATGACCCAGGAAGGGGACAGAGGTCCCACAGCAAACTGCTCACAGTGTTCAGAGATGGGAGTGTGAGAGACAAAGGATCAAGTGCAGCATTAAAAGGAAGTAGTATCAGAAGAACCCTGTGGTACTGCTGGGCAATCAAAACAGTAGAGGAAAGGTCATGCTGGTGAAGTGACAAAGCAATTTTATACTGATTAATATAATTCTTTCACTACAGTTATAAATGAAGAAGGAGAAGACTGAGCTTTAAATAAACATCAGGCAATACTGACTGCTCTGCTCCCAGTGTTTACAGTGAGGAGTCACTTGAGTTCCCCATGTGGTACTGAGTACATTTGTGAATAAGCAGGGAAAATGGCACCAGCGAAGAAGTGAATTTGATGTGAAAGCAAACTGCTCCTCGTGGGTTTCCCTGAGACACCAGGAGAACACAGCACACGGAGCTGGGGCTGTCCTGGTATCACTGAACCCAGCAGTGGGGGTGGGCTGCTGGCCTGGATGACCAGGAGGAGCCTGCAGGGGACGTTTGGAAGGGGTCTGGAAAAGACCCATGGCTCACAACTGTGAAATATAAACCAGAAGTCGTGTTTGTGCCCCCACAGGCATCTGCCCCAGCTCTTCATGTGTTCCAAAGCTTGAAGCCACCTGGTCTGGTGGAAGGTGTCCTTGCCCAGGGCACAAGACGAAGGAACAAGATGAGTCCCTTCTGACCCAAACCATCTTGTGCTTCCATGACTCCATTAAGTGTCGGCATCCTTTAATTCCTTGGGTTGCGACAAGAGCAATATTATGTTGATGAATTCTCAGTTTGCATGAAAAATGCTTGTTTATACGTATAAGTAAGTATGTAAGTAAATAAATAGCTATATACACACACATACATATATATACACAGACGCACAAAGTTCTGGATATTTCATTTATCTTCCAAAATCCTTCCCTGTCCAAAATCCTTCATTTATCTTCCAAAACCCTCCCCTAAAGCAGAAGAGAAGAAATTACCTGGAACCCCGAAGGATATTTATGACCTTTTGTCACTTTGGTGGGTGTGAGCTGAGTTCAGGTCAAGGAATAAATAAAATGTCTCCTGCTACAGCCCATCTTGATGACTTCAGATGGATTCTGCAGTTAGTTAATGGATTTTTATAATTTTGTTTTGCTCTGTTCCAGCCTTTGGGATGACCTGTTTGCAGCTGGCAGAGCTCTGAGGCCCTGGGTCAGATTTGCTGCCATGAAGCTGCTGACTGCCAGGCCAGTTCTCCAGTTCTGGATCAAACCATCCACTATTTGGAAAGCAATTCCTCTCCAAATCAGATGTAAGCAATCACATACCACTTCTGACTGGTATTTGTATGCCAGAGGGAGGTTTCGAAGACAGAACTGGCTTTTAAACTCCTATCTTTTCACTTCTCTCTTAACTGGTCCTCCTCCCTTCCAAGTATGTCCATTATCCCAGTGCAAGGCTGGATTCGGTGGAGGAGCAGTTCCCATGCCTCAGGAAATAGGAGATAGATTACTTACTGTGCCACATTGCCCTGCTATTTTTTTTTACTCCAGAACTGTGTATTCCGTGTATTTTGTAGGGTATTCCATGTTTTAAGCCTTGGTTCCTTTCAACCAGAGTTGAGGGAGCACGACAGATTTCCCCTCAGAGGGACAGGAGCCTGGACACACATCAGTTATTAGAATTATCAGCTCTCTTCCCTGAGAGATTCTCCTTGATCAGGGACACCTCAAACAACCTGGAGGAGATTGAGGGGAGACCTCAGCGCACTCCACAACTTCCTCGTGAGAGGAAGACGAGGAGCAGACACTGATCTCCTCTCTGGGGTGACCAGTGACAGGACCCGAGGGAGCAGCTGCAGCTGGATCAGGGGAGGATTAGGTTGGAAATTAAAAAAAGGTTTTTCCCCCAGAGGGTGGCTGGGCACTGAACAGGCTCCCTGTCAGAGTTCAAAGAACATTTGGACAACACTCTAAGGCACAGGGTGGGAATCCTGGGGATGGTCCTGCTCAGGGCCAGCAGCTGGACTCAGTGTGTGGCCTCTTCCAGCTCAGCCTACTCTGTGATCCTGTGACTCCAAGCAGGGGTTGGCTCCTTGTTTGAACTTCACCTGCAAATATATTTCCTGCAGCTTCTTTCACCCCAGAAAAAGTCAAATGTTGTATTTCTGGAATTCTGAACCATCAAAAGAATGTAAGCAACAAACTGAAAATACCCCAAATGTAGATTTTCAGCCTGTAACTACTGATTATTAGAGAATTTTACTTACTTACATGCTTGTATATTTTATTTAATTAGAAATTTCATTTTATTTTAATTGCTGGTCACAGTTTACAAAATCTCCTGACATGAGTAATGAGGGTTTGGGGGAGAAATGAGAATGCTAAAAAGAATAAGGTGTGGCAATTTGCTTGGGAGGTCTTTATAATGGGTAACAAAATATCTTTTTATAATGGGTAAGAAGATATTCTGTGTGCAGTTACAGCTCAGGCACTGAACAGTCAGCAGGTACAGGAGGAGAGGAGCTCATGCCAACCCAGCACCTGCAGCTCTGAGCAGCTGTGTGATGTGTTCAGCCAGAAGGAACCCTGAACATCCCTCCTTTTCATTCCCTTAACAATATTGGAAAACTAAGGCCCTGAAGTCTCCTAGTCCAAAAACCCTTCAGTGCACCTCCAGAAGGGAAGAGGAAAGTTCAAGCACATCACCAATGTCCTCCATGCCTTCAATAGCCACAATTTTACCAGGAAAAGTTTCCCAGGAAGAGTGGGAGAGAACTACCCCGGCATTAGACATGAAAGGAAAGGAATCCTGCTACATCCTGACAATATGGCCTGGGAAAACATTCCAGCAATTCTTTGAAGCTGGATGTTTTGAGCAGAAAACACTGATACAGGAACTGAGAGATTCTTCAGACCACTGAGCACACTGACAACATCCCTACTGATCCTGCAGCCAAGCCCCTGCTGCTTCAAGGAAAGAAAAATTCCAGAATGTAAATTAGGCAGCAAAGGGGGAAATCTACTTCTCCCCATCACCGAACCCTTAGGCCTTGGGAAAGTCTCTATAAATGAAGTGCAAACAAACCATAGCCAGGGCAGCAATTGAAGTGTTCATACACAGGCTCTTCATGTCACCTGGCATGCCTGAAGGTACCTGGCCTGGCCTCCAGCTGCTGCCAAGGAGGCTGTGGGTCTCTGCACGGCAGGTGTCATACCTGCTGAGCTTTAGATGCCCAAAGGCACCTGGAATATCCCAAAACCCCAAGGTTTCAGAACCAGGATTATTCCTCCACGATCAGTGACCAAATGCACGTGTACAGTGTGCCTATCTGCACCCCCTTACAAGTGATGGAAAACAATAATATCCAAGAAATATGGGATAGGATTCATCTTCTAACAGACATGCCAAATATTTTGGCCAAATATTCTCTTAATTTTTCTCCCAGACATTAACAAATCAGCCTGCTAAAGCCTCAGTGCTCAGACCTCAACTGTTTTAACTCTGAGATTTCCCCTTACCCTGTCACACAATCCATCCTACCAAGACCCTTCTTGGAACTGTCAGTGCCTTATACCAGAATTTACCTAGAGGATGGGAAGCAGCTTTGACAGGAGGATGAGTCAGATATTGGGGACACCCTCCTCCCTGTGAGGGTGGGGAGGCCCTGGCACAGGCTGCCCCGAGAAGCTGTGGCTGCCCCGTCCCTGGCAGCCTTCAAAGCCAGGCTGGATGGGGCTTGGAGCACCCTAGGCTAGTGGAAAGTGTCCCTGCTCATGGCAGGGGTGGGGAACTGGATGAGATTTAAGGTACTTCCAACCCAAAACATTCCATGATTCCTTCCAAATATCCCATCTAAACCCTGTCCTTTGGCAGTGGGAAGCCATTCCCTCTTGTCCTGTCACTTCAGGCCCTTGTCCAAAGTCCCCCTCCAGCTCTCCTGGAGCCCCTTTTGGCACTGGAAGGGGCTCTGAGGTGTT